CTCCCCCAACTAAATTTTTTTTAGTTAGAAAAAAAAATTATGTAAAAAAAAAAATCATGTGTAATTTTTTATTTTTTTTTACGTATTAGTCCGGCCTGTAATTCGGTCCTGGATCCGCCCCTGACTCCAACAACGTTAAAATATCCAACAAAAACAAATTTGAAAAATTAGACATTATAATTAGACTCGACAATATCCAACAAAAACAAAATTTGAAAAATTGTTTTCTTTTCATGGAGATTAATATTTGGTATAGAAAGAAATATGAAAAAGACTATTACCATAGAGTAATGCTACTTGCAGTCGCTCACTGCAGCAGTCGTCCTATGTGGCACACACATGATATGTAATTATTTGATACATTAATATGGTAGTTTTTGACCACATTTAATGTATCAAATACACACTTGACATGTGTGTGCGTCACATAGGACGACTGTTGCAGTGAGCGACTGCAAGTAGCATTATTCATTACCATACGGCCCTAACTTTAGCCAACCCAAGGAGGGACCCATTAGTCTTACTGCTGCCACTGATATCAAACATTAATTTATGGAAAAATTTATCTGACGTACATTAAATATTTGTCAATACTAATTAGGAAAGAGTTTCTGGTTAAGGCAGTGATTGCAATTTACGTCATATACTGCTGAAATTTTCATGCTCACGCAGAGATCTAGGTGCGTGTCTTTATTGTGAGAACTCATAAATGTGCATATATGAATTTTTCACAAATATTATTCACTTAATTTCTAATATAACACAATTTTTTAATAACAATGTAAGCCATCTTTCACTCAAGGTTTACACAGTTTAGCGGAGTCGGGATTTCATCCTCAGAGGGCGAAAAAAATTGAAGGGAAAGATACTCAACTTTGAATCGCGTCACGGAACATAACTGAACTTTAAAAATGCTCCAGATGTGAGTTTCGTATGCCACTTAAGCAGTTCTATCAAGCCAACACCTCAAGAGTGATGGATGGACAGCATTTCGATAAAGTTCAATTACGTTTCTTTAGCAAAATTTTAAAATTAAGTGAGCTCTCCATGGCGCCAACCAAGGTTCAATTATGTTTAGAATAATTAATCCACTATGTAAATATCAAAAAATAAATTTAGAATAAACCGAAAAAAAAAAAAAAATTAAAAATTTGAGGGAGCAATCGCCACCTCCACCTCGAATGTTGGCTTTACCACTAGCTTTGATAGTTGAAGAGGAAATATCAATAAATATTAATTTATTTTTATTTCGAGAAAGTTTGAACTTTTAGATGAAATATTTAACATAATATCTGAGCAGAAAAAGGCCCTCATTTCAAGTCTACTCATTTTTTAGACTTTGAGGTTAGCCTTTGATAAAAAATAAATTTTAATTTTAGATTTAATGCTTTAAAGAATAAATTTCATATGGAACAAATATAAGATAAATATACGAAATTAATAAAGTTAATCTTTTAAAATGAAATCTCCAGTCTTAATTTTACATTGTCGTGTCTTGGAATACAAACACAGGA